GAAGTGGTTGGTGCTTTTGATAAGTAATAGGTTAGTTTTTGTAATCAATCCTATTGTCCTTTGAAGTTTTCCCATTACAAACGGCTTGTTGCTAGAATACAAAAACACATTTTTTATTAAAAAAAATAATATCCTTTGTTCTTACGAGCACAGTCCATTCAATCAATAATGCAGTTTTAAGTTACTTGTAAAACTATAAATAAATACACGAAACCGTCAGCCTGGAGACATTTTCGTACGAAACATTTAAATGAAATGTAAATGAATGAATGTAGACTTCACATCGAGCTAAACAAAACCAGTTTATCGTGGTCTCGCCTCATATGATCTTCCTGCACATTCGAAACTCAGTTTATACTGGTTTACATAGCTTGATGTGCTATCGTATGTACAATGACCGCTATAAAAACTCGAACCACCCATAAGATCAATGCAATTATGCATTTTTATTCTTGCAAATTACACATGTTGGCTTCAAGCCATAATAATAGTTATTGCAAATTGTATTTTATAAGTAAAACGTATGGTAAGATACGCCGCCGTTAAAGGTGAAAAAAGAAAAAAATGTTTTTACAACATTCGTAGATTTGCGATGCAATTAGAGTAGCCATCGACGGAATTCATTCGGAATTTTATTGTCATGTAATTATACTTTCGTTGAGAAGTTACACTCAGTGGAGTTTTTTTATAACTTATTGGTATCTGACATAATAAATCAGTAAATATGTTATAATAATAAAGTTCAATTTTTTTCTGTCATTTGTAATAATAATGAAACAAGTAAATGCATCGAAGTCAAAGTAAAAATCGATTATTTTTCTGTAACAACACGGAGTCTGGGATTGTGCCTGGTATTATAGCAATAAGCTCACCCCGTATTACATGGAACTCATAATATAACTGAATAAAATTAGGAGTTACACTGAATTAATGTAAGTGTGGGAGAGCCATGCTTCGCTACGAATGGGCCGGCTCGACCGGAGTGATACCACGGCCGAGCAGAAAACCGATGTGAAACAACAATTGGGTTGTGTTTCATCGGTAAGGTTATCCGAGGCCCAGTTACAAACCTCCCCAATCCCCATTTCCCAACAATCCTCAAATTCCTAATCCCCAAAAGGCCGGTAACGCACTTGTAACACTTCTGGTGTTTTGGGTGTCCATGGGCGGCGCCGATTGCTTATCATCGGGTGATCCGTCTGCTTCACAGAACATATAGAGTCTGCTCGTTTCCTAGCTTATTCAATACTCCTTCGGCGGTCGTTTTTAAGGTCTCGGGAATTTAAAAGACTTGATATTATGTTGTTTTGTGTGACACAGTTCACTAATACTTCAACACTCACTCTTATAACTCAACCAAATGACTTAATAAATATCGTGATCTAATACAACTAGTACATGTTTCTAGAACACGCTAGTTCAATAGTAAGAACTTGACCTGGATTGTACCCTTTGGATTGCAGCTGCACACGTTGCAGGCCTGTCAATAGGGATGTGACCCAATTTGTGTTTCTCAAGGACGGGGATCCAAACGTCGTTCTAATAGATATGGAATGTGTCTTGTGATTTGAAGTGAGGCGAGGTTAAAATTGTTAGCATGAAGATTGTAGTGTGTTTAACAGTTTTATTATTATTTTACATGGTGCTGTTTATCATAGGTCCTTGTATCTGAATTTCAGTGAGAATCAAGATGGTGGCCAAACGCTATCCTATATTAATAATTATAAAAAATATCGATATTTTATGAACCTTTGAAGCAAATATATTACTACTTATAGATATTATTTAACTAGCTTCTTCCGCGCGGTTTCACACGCTCTGCTAAGCTCCTATTGGTCATAGCGTGATGTTATATAGCCTTTAGCCTTCCTCAATAAATGCACTATACAACACAAAAAGAATTATTCAAATCAGACTTGTAGTTACGGAGATTAGCGCCTTCAAACAAAAAAACAAACTTCCGTTTTATATAATAGTACATAGTATATATAAGACGCAGACGTTATTTGCATATGGTATCATTATCATCGTTATAAATTAGCTGACTAAGACATCCACAGTTCAAAATAAACGCAAAATTAAAGCAGAGATATTAATAATATAATAATAATAATAAATCTACGATGAACATTACGATGAATTTATTTATCTAAAAATGTTGCAATGTCTGTAAAAGGCCGAAAAGTACCTAAATATAATTAGATGCAATACGCTTTCATTTTGACTTTGACTTTGACTTTGACTTTGACACATAAAAATGTTAATAAACCTTCTTTTCCCTAGTAGACAAACATTAACACAAACACGAAAGACGTGACACTGTTCCTTTGAAAATCCACAAGAAATATTGAATCAATAAAATCGAGTTTGAATTTTATTACTTACGTTATAGAGCTGTAAATTGATGTTGAAATTAATCATATAATTTTATAGAGATTTCCACTGCAATTTCATATTCCGTCATTGGAAGACGTGTTCATAAATTTTATACGTAGTTAAATATAAGTGGAGTATTGCTATTCTATCTTGTAAATTGAATTACTTGTACAATTTTCCTATTTATAATAAATACGAAAGTAGATTTGAATCTCTGTTAATTATGTATATAAGGTGATTTCAAAAAGAGGATGTCCGCAATCCGACTGTACAATTCTATATTCAATAGGCTCTACCGATATAAAAGAAGTATTTACTAATATTTTTGCGCAATAATAGCGTTCTTTTAAAAAAATATTAATGTACGGTTTTGACCTGCCTATGATTGTATTCTAATTAAGAAGATCATCATCATTAACAGCCTATATGTTGACTGCCCACTGCTGAGCAAAGCCTCTTCTCACATGGAGAAGGTTTGAGCATTAATCACCCCCCTTGCTCAGTGTGGGTTGGCGATTACAAATTTATAATTAGAAATTATAAGCCCAGGTTTCCTCACGATGTTTTCCTTCACCGTTTGTCAGCTGTGTCTAAATAAACTTAGAAAGTACATATAACTCGGAAAAAGTTACATTGGTACATGCTGTTGGTAGGTTTAGAACCCGCACCGTCGTGCATGAGAAGCGGGCGTTTTAAACCTCCAGGTCACAACGACATTATGAATAGAAGATAGATACCTAGACAAAACAAAACAAAGTAAATCTATCACAAACATAGAAAATCATTTTTTTAAATACAATCCGCACATTTTTTGTGCAACAAGGTTTATCTAGTAAGATAAGTACGGGGTGTCGGCCCGTGGTTTGTGCTAATGGACTTCCCTAGTAACGGGCGAGCCCGCGGCGATTCTCTAGCTATATGTATGGACATAAAGTGAGCGGGTTTGGACAATAATGGGAAAGGGCTCACATGTTGTCTGAAGTATTTTGTGACCTACTTTAAGAGCATGTTCCAGATGGATGTGGATGTCGAATGCGGTTTTTAAATGTATGGCTTTATGTACTTGTTTAAGTAGGTTTGTTGAAATGAGTTTTAAAGGTTGAGGTTTTGAATATATCTGACTGTTTGAGTTAAGGTGAAGAGAAGAATTAGGCATTCTACGACTAACCGTATGATTTAGTGATTTAAAATACATTGTGTATAGTATATTACATGTATACTCAAATATAGAAAACTTCAACCGATGCGAAAATAAGTTTATTGGTATTTGATAACACATTATGAAGTTTGTGGTTGACAAATAGAAATTAAAGAACTCGAGCGCTCATACTTTATTTGAATATTATACTTGAGAAAATAAACACTGCCATCCAACGTGGCAAATTACAATGTTCTGAGCACTTTCCATGTAGAGGTCAAACATTATAGTTATAGCGACCCGCCCCGGCTTCGCACGGGTTCAATATTCGTATATTATACATATAAATCTTCCTTAAGAATCATTCTATCTATTAAAAAAAGCGCATCAAAATCCGTTTCGTGGTTTTAAAGATCTAAGCATGCATAGAAAAAGACAAACGGCAGATAGCGACTTTGTTTTATCTTAAAAAAATAAAGATAAATAGGTATAGACATTTAAGATTTTAAGGTCTTGCACCAGCCATAAACATCTAAATTGCGCATTGAATCCTATGCAATAATCTCATACTTTTACTGGCTCCACACGAAATCGCGTATTTTATATTCCCGACGCCTTATCTGAGTGTTGTATTGTTGAGATTCAGTTTAGTCCTCACTATCTACGGAATTTCATCGAGAGATTTATTTTATTTTGTTTTCCAACGCTTTGCTGTGAGGAATTGAATCCTGGATTTTGTTTTTGAATTTAGTATTGTTTTATTTTATTTATTGTTTCGTTTTTGCTCTTTGTGTTTGGGTATTTTTCGTCTACGAAACATGATATTGTTTTATAATATTTTATATAGATGGTTCTCAAGATATAATAAGTGTTTCAATATATTTTTTACAATTGAAAATCACGTGTTCAACTGGAGTGATACCACGGCCTCATAGAAAACTGAGGAGAAACAATGCTTGCCTTGTATTTCCCTGTTTAGATGTAATCTTCTGTAAAAGGTACAACTCCTTTCGATTGCCAGCAAAGCACTTCTAACTCCACTACTCTTGAAAGTAGCCATGTATGGCGCTAAACTCACCATGCGATTGCTTATATTATTGAATTCCATGATTCTTCTAATAATACGGATGATGACAGGGTATGAAAATTAAAAATCTAATTAGTCCGTCAGTTAGACAATGAAAAAATATTAGACACGTATTTTTCTATTTTGTTGTATAATAAAATGATACTTAGATATAACGAATCAAAGTTTAGGAGTGGGGGCTAAAACGTCATTTCAACGCATAGAATTTACATAGAAGTGACGTCACGCCACATTTCAAATTAATATATTTTCAAAACTATTCGTTACCGTAAAAAAATAAAAATACGTGTGTAATGTTTTTAAATAATCTACCAGACAGACATTACAATAAAAATTAATCATCTACCCTATTGCATTTGTACTTATATGCCATATTGACCCTTCATTTCTTTGTTACAGCCGCCTCATGGTGCGAGGGTGCTCGCGATGCAACCTGTCCCCGAATCTGTGGTCCTTCGCTGCAGAGTGAACCAGTCTGCGCCACTGACGGTTATATCTACCCTTCTCTTTGTGAGATGAGGAAGAAGACTTGTGGAAAAGGTATAACATTCCGTCTGTTTGATTCTTCAATCGTAATTCGAATATTGCCAAGCACGAATAACTATCGCATTCGTAACGTAATAGTATCGAGCGCGTTCGGCGCTCTGATTGGCCGGCTCAAGTGAACCAACCAATCAGAACGCTTAACTCGCTCGATACGAATGCGATAGTTATTCGTGCTTGGCCCTCAGGTTCTAGACTAAAAAAAGTTCTTGTTAATAATTTTTCAAAAGACCAGAAAAGTAAAGAAGCTGTGTACTTAGATGTATTTTTTTTATACTTTTAAGTTCACTTACACTTGCGATCGTTTACCAGATCTGTAAGTCTTTTTGCTTTCTAATTGGAGTGTGAGGAATACATCCGATCGAATACGTTCCATTTTGTCAGCCTTATTTTTTTATGGGATAAGCCGGTATACGAGCAGACGGATTACCTGATGGTAAGCAATTGTCGCCGCCCATGAACACCCGAAACATCAGATGTGTTACAAGTGCGTTGCCGGCTTTTTGGGATTAAGTATTTGAGGATTTTTGGAGATTCAGAATCGGTCTTCTGTCTAGAGTCCAGATGTTTATATAATAATACTAGCGGACCCGACAGACGTTGTCCTGCATATAATGTGATAATAATAGGTATAGATAAATAACATTGATACCGACTGCAGCGCCATCTGCCGGGCTGATTTGTGAATCTAAACCATTCCCAGATCCCCTTGAACACACACAAAAAAATTCATCAAAATCGGTCCAGTCGTTTGAGAGAAGTTCAGTGACACACTCACAGAAGAATTATATATATAAAGATATTACGTTTATATAACATATTCCTATAAATTTACAGGTGTACGCCTAGCTCAAGATCAGACTTCTTGCTCTCGAGCTCAAGGGTCTAAGTGCGAACATCGGTGTACGTCTGAGAGGGACCCAGTATGTGGAACCAACGGCAGGACTTACCTTAATAGATGTATGCTCCAAGTTGAGATCTGCAGGTAATGTTCAAAGAAAAAAAGGTATCAAAGGTTTTTAAGAGTTATTGGAGACCCTTCTTTACAACATACTTATTGCTCCTCTGGTGTTGCGGGTATCAAAAAAATTAAAGGTCCAACAGAGGTCATGAAGTAAAAAGTGATCTATGAAATAATCAACTGAACAATAAACAATCGATGTAAATTTCTACTATAAAATGTCAGTTGATTTTTTAAAATTAAAAAGTAAATGAACTGTTTCGTTGTCAAAGGTGTTTTTATATTTCATGTGCCAAAATTTGGCCACCATTTCGTCTGGTGGTAAGCGATGATGCGGCTCAAGATGGAGTACGTCTGCCCATAAGCAACCTATTCACTCGGGTCTTGAAGATACCCAGGTTTTAAAAATTTCTGGACTTCAAATCACAAGAGTTTAGAGATTTATTGAATTAAGTCTGAATAACCACCATATACTTATCAGAATGAAATTAAGAATATAACTGGTAAAAAACAGGCATACACAAAGTATGCGTTTGCCTGCCAGTTCAAAAAATAATGTCTATAACTATCTTAACTGTAGAAACAAAAAACGAATAAATGAATAACTAGACCTACGAGACAAGTTTATTATTCAGGATCACATTGACATTCGACGTCATCTTCATCTTCGTCTTTACTGTAATATCTTAACCTTCTCTGGGTAAAATTTGCTTCAAATTCTGCTTCTTCTGCTTCTTTCTTTGCTTTCTCTTCTTCAGATAACTCAGGGACTTCCTGTTTAGATTTTAATTCCATTTCTATTACAGAGTCGGTATTGGACTCTCTCATTTGGGAGCGTGTAATAACATCAGTGCCCATCGGGAAAACTGCCCCGTCGACTGTTCCCAAGCTCCCCTCGACGGGCCCATTTGCGGTTCTGATGGCAATGTGTACAAAAGCACTTGTCAAATGAAATTGTTAACTTGTGGGTAAGTGGCTAGGTACTTCTTTTATTTTCTGGTATCCTGGTACCGATGTCAACAGGTTAAGTTATACTGAACTAGTGAATTTGAATAGAATTTCGATTTGATTTCGAAACAGTAGAGTTGAGCGTGTATTAGGTATTTGATAGAATGGAACTAGCTTGATGTGCTGCCGAGCTCAGTTCTAACATAAGTGGTGCATTTTTTGTAATCGAAATTAATTTTGCAAAAGTATGATCTACCGTTGAAAATAAATATTCTTTGAAAACATCAAAATGTGAAGGTCTTCATGTCAGACAATCATAACTAAAGAATTTACATAAAATTTCTAGGCAAGGTGTGGTCCGAACAAACAAAAAACATTGCCAGACCACTCGGCACTGCCGGGAGTCTTGCTGGCGCGTCGCCAGACCAACTTGTGGGTCCGATGGCAAGCTGTACGCCAACGCTTGCAGAATGAAGGCTAGTAACTGCGGGTATGTATTGAATACTTTTATTTTTTTATTTATTTTAATAGACTTCATGCACACACTAATGTACAAGGTGGGCTTAATGCCTAAGGCATTCTCCTTCAGCCAGACCTTTGGGTGATGCAGAGACAAAAACAATGGTCGATGCAAGAAGCAAGCGTTTTTAGGACTCAACAGAAATACCTCTACATAAAAAAGGATAGTATAGACTTACATAAAATAGATCCCAATATAAACTTACATGTATATGACATAACAATAAACTGACACAATTATACATACGTAACATACAACGACGTAACATAATTATACATAGTATATTGATAGTTACGACGTTTTATGAGTAGAATTAATTTAGAATAAGATATAGTTTTTTGAAATTTGCTGTGAAAGAAGAATGATAAATGAAAGACTGACTGTTGCTAACAGTATCAAAGAGTAAGTGTGTATAAAGAATTAAGAAGATATATTTATGGACAGTGGATTCCCTTGAAATAAAGACCAATAGAAGAGGAAAAAAATAAACTAATTAAGAAATATTTTTGTCCTTGATGCAGACCTGAAACAGCTAATGATGGCGATAACGAGTATTATGATTACCAAGGGATACTCAAGAGCCGTAACTGATATCATGTCCAACATTTTAAATATACTTTAAATGTAGAATAGAAGAGTCCTTTTAATCCTGCACGACTAATAATGACTGCACGGTTGGTGCGGTGGCTGGGCAACCGGCTGCCGTGCAACGTGTCGCGGGTTTGATTCCCGCACGGGACAACACTTTGTGTGATCCACAAATTGTTGTTTCGGGTCTGGGTGTCATTGTGTATGTGAAATTGTATGTTTGTAAACGCACCCACGACACAGGAGAAAAACCTAGTGTGGGGCAATGTTTTTTTTTTTAAAATCCTAATTTAAAAGAAACAAATATAAGTAACTAATTTTTGATCCTTTCGATTTCCAGAAAACATGTCTTCGAAGTGCCGATGGCGTTCTGCGTGTCTCAGGAAAGGACATCAGGAGGGGAATCCTGCCCTAAGGATTGTTTGGGACAGAAGGAGAAACTGGTCTGCGGCTCTGATGAAATGGTGTACAGGAATGAGTGTGAAATGAAGATGTTGAATTGCGGGTGAGTGAAGTATAGTTTTGCCGGCAGACAAGAAAAAATGTTACCCTACTAGTTGTTGATTGTAACTTTATTGGGTAACGTATTCAGTTGCCAAATTCTTTAGGCAAGCGAGAGGTATAGAATAAAGGAATAATTCACTCTGATTAGACTAAAATAAGCTTTAACATGAGGGTAACAAATAGGTTTAAACTGTCAAACACCGCAAGGACACCGGTGACCACAACCTATTGTTCTTTAATTGTGTCTATAATGACGGTACTCAAAGGGTTAAAGGTGAAAAGAGGTGACTATACTTCTGTATCGTATCTCTTTCGCTAAAAATGTCTTGAATTTTGGTTAAAAAAGAAAAGTATACTCACTGATTGTCAGCCCAATATCCTGGTATAGTGCAACAGGGAAATAGTGGAAATCTAGAAAAGAAATAAAACCAAGTTAAACGTAAAATTTTAATTTCAATAAATAATCATAATATTGCTATTCAATAACTGAACCGCTTATTACACGAAGTTAATTATTATTTAATAGTCTAATCTATTCTGGTATTTTGGGATCAACTTAATTACCTACTGTAGCTCCTACTCATTACCAAATAGGCCCAATATTATTTTCTCCAAAACAATTTTATTTTATGCAGTTTGCAATATGCCTTGCGTCTATATTTGTGGACAAAAGGTGTGTATTAGTACAGTTCGAAGCATAATATGGTTTATGATCAGGAGAATAATTGAATATGTTGAAAATTTCACAATTATTAAATTAGCAGCTTAAAATGTCAAACTCCGCGAGGACAGCGGTGACCGCAACCTATTGTTCTTTAATTGTGTCTATAATGACGGTACTCAAAGGGTTAAATGTGATCTATTTTAACACTTATTTTATCTTCATCAGCAGCGTAAGCAACAGGAAGATTGTGAAAAAGGTTGACATGGAGAAGTGTCGTGGCAAGATGAACCGCTGCATGAAGGTCAAGTGCCCTACCGACATAGACCCTGTCTGTGGCACTGATCAGAAAGTCTACACCAATCCTTGCTTCTTGAAGGTCGCTACTTGTTTGTGAGTATTGGTTTTTTGTAAGTTTGGCATAGAAATGCAATTAACGTTGTTTTTACTATATCTATATCAGGACTGCCCCGATGGCCGAGTGGTGGCAAATGCGACTACCGGGCAAGGGGTCTCGGGTTCGATTCCCGGGTCGGGCAAAGTATTACTGGGTTTTTAAAAAAAATCTCAGTAGTATCACCGAGTCTGGAAATGTGCCCGGTGTATGGCAATAGGTTCACCCCCTATTACATAGGACTCATAACATAAATAGTGAAAAGTGGGTGTTACTTCTGTGTGCACCTCTGCTTACTCCTTCGGGGGTAAAAGGCGTGATGTTATGTTATGTGATGTTATGTCTATATCAGGGGTTGTTTTCCCTGGCCAAGGCCACTTTTATCATTCTTGTTTGGTATTACTATTTTTTTGCAAATGACCCTCCACTATGATTTTTTAATTTATTTATAAAATACGAACGTTCAGATTACTGAAATCAGTTGGTCCTCTCAGTTGTCTCATTCGATATAAGTTTAATTTGAGGTTCAAGCGCGTCATTTATTGGACATGTGTATTTTTTTTTTACATTCCCCGGGCATTTTTTGTGAGCCACTAATCTATATAGAATAGCAAAGCTGAAGCAGTGAGTTTGATTAATAGCAAAAATTGCCAAATGAATTGTTAATTTTTTGATTATTGTCGTCTAAGTCAAAATCAAATCAAACCTTTTATTTCAATTAATCCTTAATCAGGCAATTTTTGAACGTGAAAAATTAAATTGTCCGTCCTTCCGTCTGTCAGTGAAGCTAGTCGGTTTTAAGAAAGCATAGCTTTAAGATACAAATGGACACTTGCTTTTAAAGTCAAATCTGAAGCATTGCAAGGAAGCAACCACGAGGAATTTCATAGCGAAAGATTTGCTTCAACAATTTTCTAGCAGTAGTCAAACGCTAGGCTGGACTTAAATACATCATCAAATTCTCAAAAAAAGTTTTAACTATTAATTACAGGAAAGGAATTCAACTGGCTCACTTTGGAAACTGCACCCTACTCCCTCGATTTAAAGAAGATTGTCCAGATACCTGCGAGAACGTAGTCGAACAACCAGTGTGCGGTTCCGATGGTAACGTTTACAAGTGAGTATTGGACCCTCTTAGAGTAATGGCGGATCTTGTGGATGTGGATGTATGAATTCTTGTGGTTACACAATTTCATTGTCCGTGAATTACTGCACGGTTGGTGCGATAGCTTTGCAATCGACTGCCGCGCAAAGTGTAGCGGGTTCGATTTCCATACGGAGCAACTCTTTGTGTGATCCACAAATTCTTGTTTCAAGTCTGGGTGTGATGTGTATGTGAATTTGTATGTTGGTAAATGCACCCAAGATACCGGAGAAAATCCTAATGTGGGGTAACGTTGTATATAATTATAAAGAAATCTATTCTAGTACTAGTAGTAAGTCTATTAGGGTTGGAGGACCCTTAAGTGAGATTTGGAAAAATGAATGGACACTGTAACTAAATACATTCTCCTGTATAAAATACTAAAAAGTAATAGGATCAAAAATCAAAAGAAACTATTGCTTCATAAATAGTCTAAGTAAAAGGTTTGACATAGACTGATTAGAAGAAAAAGAGATGAACTGTATCAAAAATAGGAACGACGGCGTAAAATGCGCCGATAAAATTACAATGATTCAGAATAACATCTCGTTACTTTGGTTTGTCTCGGGAAGGCGTCTCGGGTTCGATTCCCAGGTCGAGCAAAGTAGTACGGGGTTTTTAGAAAAAATTCCAATAATAGCACGGAGTCTGGAATTGTGCCCGGTGTATAGCAATAGGTTTATTACACGAGACTAATATAAAATAAATAGTGAAAAGTGAGTGTTAGGTACATTGAACAGTAGCATTAACTGCTGTAATGTGCCGCTCGGCCTATCCCTTCGGGGATAAAAGGCGTGATGTTATGTTACTTTGGTGTGCTGTAGTTTCTATCAACCATTTCAGTCTAAGAACACGACTTTGTTTTTTTTATGGCATAAGCCGGTAAACGAGCTGACGGATCACCTGATGGTAAGCAATCGGCGTCGCCTATGGACACACGCAACACCAGAGGCGTTATAAGTGCGTTACCGGCTTTTTGGGGATTAGGAGTTTGAGGATCGTTGGGGCTTCAAGAATTGGGGAAATTGGGAAAGGGGAGGGTAATTGGGCCTCCGGTAACCTCACGCACACGACAAAACACAACGCAAGCGTTGCTTCACGTCGGTTTTCTGTAAGGTCGTGGTATCACTCCGGTCGAGCCGGCCCATTCGTGCTTAGATGGTATGTGTAAATATTATCGTAACTATTCCTAAATATCTATTGCTATTTTCTCCCCCAGGTCTGAATGCGAACTCCGTCTAGCTACCTGTGGACAGCACGTAGTACCAGTAGCTGCCTCCCACTGCCGGACTACTGCTCTCTGCCATGAAGAGTGTCCTGATACGCCTGCCTTTATTTGCGGATCTGATAACCGCTTCTACAAGAACGAGTGTTTAATGAAGAAGGAGAATTGCGGGTGAGTTAATGTCGAATATAATTAATTTGTAATTCATCATTAATTAAAATTTATGGTGAATGGCTTATTTACGAACTTATAGAAGGAGGTAACTTGATTTATCTCAAGACATACCTGGGCGCTTATTCTTGAAATCAATCTCAATGTCAATGCAATTTCAATCCAATAAAATATTAATCATTATTCAATGTAAACATTATACAACCCTCATCGTTACTGTTAAATTAGCATTCAGTGTACGGAATATAAAGCCCAACTCAATACCACTTAGTTCATCAAATCTCCACGCAATATGATTGCAATGGGCGGTAGTGTACTCAAGATAAGTAAGAGTACGAAATTTTACAAAACTAATGTCGATCGATCGGGCTTAGATTCAATCATAAGCTCCCAGGAGCTCATAGTTATTAGTAGTAGCATTGCGCGACAAATGCATTGTGACGTGGGTCGTTCAGTCAACTCATTAAAAAGTCTCACGATGGTTATAATAAAAACAAGTCCTGATAATTTGAAGAATTTAAAATTACAAAAGAACTCACATTATTCGTCATTAACAATATTTATAAGTTAAATTAACTCAAAGCGCGATTTACTTACGTGAATATACTGAGAAAAGCTCTACTAGTACTAGCGCGGTAGCTGCGACATGCTCATGAGGAAGAATCCCTCTGTGGTTCAAAACTAGTAGAGCTTTTCTCAGTATATACACGTGAGTAACCTGTGATTTTAGTTAATGTAGTATGTCTCACGATAGTTATAATAAAAACAATATTTATAAGATAATAAGAAAATGTGACAAAAACAACCACTTCTATTCATAACAGCATACCAAACAAAAAGTACCAGGCGCCCATAACCAACAAAGAGTTCATATTCCAGCAAGCACGTGTTCGTAGTACCGTTGAAGCGGTGCCTCGCTCGCTTCCAGTACTCGGGGTGCGCGCGCGTGTGTCCAGCGGAGTACGACCCCGTCTGTGGTACTGATGACAAGACTTACTCCAACAAATGCTTCCTTGAGATGGAGAACTGTCGGTCTAGGTGAGTTCCCTTCAGTTTCTGCTAGCCTAGTACTTTTGTTGCAATTGATGTTTTTTTTGTTAGAGTTTTTTTTTATTGGTAAAAATGTATTTAATTCTATAGACTCTATAGAACCTCTATAGTAAGACCTCTATAGTATAGAGGAAATGTTTTAAGAATGTAATGTAAGACATGTAATGATGATAGATCAGAATACGTTTTGTTCCCACCACCATTCTTGCCGTGGGTGTCGTAAAAGCCTGCAGATTCTGATAGCGACAGAGCAGCAACTTAACCTAAACGTTTTTAAACTGCTATTTGCAAACTGACAAACTAGTCCCCAAGCGGTCACCGATGACCGCTCTCCACTTAATCCATTATAGACCCTCTTTCCGATGTTTAGAGACTACTTTTGTATTATTCATTCAATATTATTGTGGATTATTCATAATCAAGGATTAAGAAGTTAAAAACTGTCACAGGCGGTTGATGTTAGTTTTTAAATTCATCTAAATCCATTATGCAAACAAACTAACTGTCTTTTGTATTAAGTGTGAGAGAGCCATGCTTCAGCACGAATGGGCTGACTCAATCGGGGTGTTGCCATGGCCTCAGAGACAACAGACTTAAAACAACGCTTGCATTGTTGCACCTCAATCCTTGAATCTCCCCTCAAATTCCTAATCCCCGTAAGGCCGGTAACGCACTTGTAACGCCTCAGGTGTTCCGGGTGTCTATGAGCGACGTCGATTGCTTACCATCAGGTACTCCTAATGCGTGTTTACTGGCTTATCAAATAAACAAATTACCTATAGGAGTTGCACAAAATTGGGTATATTTCAGAGTTTCAACACCTATTCAAACTCATTGCTGGATGAGAGGATGCTCAAATAAAAAAACTAAACATTTTTATTGTAATTTAAATATTAGGACACTCGCGGAGTGCGAAGCACAATTGGCCATAAAACATCTTAATACCTGAAACTTATTTTTGGAAATCTCATGTGCTCGCGAGTTTGTATCCATCCATACTAAAATTATAAATGTAAATGTGTATGTGTGTCTATTTGTCCGTCTTTCATGACAAGACGGGACGTCGAATCGGCGTGATTTTTTGAATGAAAGTTGAATGGATGGATATGGATAGTGACATAGGCTACTTTTTAAGTTGTTCTAACTTCCCTAAAAAGGGTGGGTTAAATGCTTCACAGGGCATGAAAATTAAAAATCTAATTAGTCCGTAAGCTAGGTACCTAATGAAAAAATATTAGACACGTATTTTTTTATTTTGTCGTATAATAAAACAATACTTAGATAAAACGAATCAAAGTTTAGGTGTGGGGCCAAAACGTCATTTCTACGTATATAATGTACACAGAAGTGACGTCACGCGACATTTTAAATCAATATATCGTCAAAAGTATTCGTTTCTGTAAGAAAATAAAAAATTCGTGTCTGATTTAAAATAATCTACCAGACGGACATTAAAATAAAAATTCAGCATCTAACCTATTGTCAAGGTAGAAAGCTAAAGAGAAAAGAAAACAATAGAAAACCAAAACTGATACACAGACTATTTGTGATTGATTAAAAATTTGCTGCTTGACTGCCTCATTAGCCGAGTGGTCGCTAGTGCGACTGCCGGGCAAGGGGTCTCGGGTTCGATTCCCGGGTCGGGAAAAGTAATGGGTTTTTTAAAAATCTTAGTAGTAGCATGGAGTCTGGAATTGGACCCGGTATATGGCAATAGGCTCACCCCCTATTACATAGGACTCATAACATAAATAGTGAAAAGTGGGTGTTACATTGTACAGTGGCATTAAGTACCGTAATGTGCACCTCTGCCTTCGGGGATAAAAGGCGTGAAGTCACATTATGTTTTGTTATGTTAAATAACCTGTATCTGTTTTTTGTAAATTTTTTAAGGGAACCCTTAAAAAATTCCCTTAAAAAAGTGTGAACGAAACCGCGGGCAGAAGAAAGCTAATAATCAAATAAATCCGTGGTAATTCTAATTGTTTATTTTATGATAGTATCCACAGAACATATAAAGAAGATAGTATCCGAGAGACGTATTGTGTGATTACTTTGTAAATGTTTGCATTTCATAGATAACTAGAGTAAAATCGTTTTATTGTTTATAGTAGTAGCTTTAGAAACTAATTCCTGTGTCAAATTATTTTCATCTTTTAGTTGTAGCCTCGACCTCTATTTTAAAGGCGTAATGATATAACATCATGTTCTTTAAACTCAATTATGATAAGCGATCGTCTAAATAGTGTTCGTAACTCCTGAAAAGTATGTCTCGTGTTTAGAAAAAAAATGGTGTATAAAAAAATGCGAACAGGTAAGAACAGGACTGCACGGTTGGTGCGGTGGCTGGGTAACCGGCTGCCGTGAAACGTGTCGCGGGTTCGATTCCCGCACGGGACAACACTTTGTGTGATCCACAAATTGTTGTTTCGGGTCTAGGTGTCATTGAGTATGTGAATTTGTATGTTTGTAAAACGCACCCACGACACAGGAGAAAATACTAGTGTGGGGCAACGTTTAAAAAAAAAATATGATTAGAAAACAGGCCACTTGATTTATTTATTTATTGACCCATTCGTGCCGAAGCATGGCTCTCTGATACTTTTCGTAGAAAGAACATCAATTTAAAGGTGCTTCCTCACCGGGAGTATTCACGTGTAATGTAACATTATAGATTCGACTTTGAGCATTACATTACAATAATACCTCCCTGACTAACGAGCATTTGCGTGTAATGTAACATTATAGATTCGACTTTGAGCATTACATTACAATAATACCTCCCTGACTAATAAGCATTTGCGTGTAATGTAACATATAGATTCGATTTGGAGCATTTCATAGCAAGATGTCAGACATTGATGTTACAAGTTGTATCAAGATATTGCACATTGTATCATTACAAGGTGCGCATTCTAATGTTCGGTTCTCCTCCTTCACTGATGTAATGCTCAGATCTGTAACGTTACATTACAAGCGAATGCTCCCGGTGAGGGAGCACCTTAAGATATAACAAAGACCTCATTGTCTAGTTTGGAAAAAAGCTAACATATTAGATTGATTAGATATTGTATGTACAATAATTGTGAAGGATGTCCAACGGCCAGGAGATTAACCTACTCCATTCTGTCAAGTTTAATCATTGGATTTTCGACTATAAGTCAATACAAGATGAAGATGACATGGCCACCGTACCATACTGGGAGCTGAGCCAGAAAAAAAAGCGGCCTAGGCATTGCAGAGTGTGAATCTAGATTTAAATTCAGACAATGCACTCAAATTACAGCTTGAAACTGTATAACAAAATATTTCTCTTCTTTACGTAAATCGTGACATCGTGACGTAACTGACCGGCAATTTGTGTTACATTTCTTTAAACAATTTTTTTTAATGTTCATATTAATTGATTTCATATTTCTTTCGTTCCAGGAGTCTGGTACAACTGAAGCACCTGGGCACATGCACGGAACCCATCGCCGAAGAACCGAAAAACTATCTATATCGATAAACGAATCGATTAACAGTGATATCGATTAATCGCTTTTCTTTCCATACCTAATCGTATTCTCGGGATCGGAATCCCACTTATTAGTGCCAACTTTTTATAAGTAAAAATATACTGTAAAATAATGTAAGCGACCAATCTTCGTCTTCCAATTTATAAAATTTAAGTTTCATATTAATGTTCATAGTTTAATCGATTAAAAATCGATAAGGGTTCCACACTAATCAATCGCAAGTCTTCTTCACATTGGGTTTTTGATAGTACATAACGGTATTTGGATCTTTTTGCTTCACATAAGTAAGTGTGGAAATCCTTAATCGGCTCATGATCGAGATAGAATCGTTTAAACTATGCGATTCGAGCATTCCTTTAATAAACGGATCAGTACAAAAATTCGAACTCACGAAAATAATGGCAGACACCTCTCTTTTAGGTTATATAATTTAGTGATTTTAGATATAATTTTTCGACTGTCTATTTATTCTATTATTTATTTCTGTGCGTAGTAGATTTAAGATTATATTTATTTTGTACATAATTAGTGAATTTCTCGACGTATTTATTGTTTTTTCTAAGAATCGATGCATTTAGTAGAAGACTTATAATTTAAACATTTATGACAATAAGATTTTTTGTAATAAAACATAAATTGGTGACAGTTGTTTGAATTTACCGCCTAGTTTTTAAAGCATTCATTTAAAATAACTGCGTCATGACGTTTTGTATTCATATTTGTATGATTTGCTCAAATATTAGATAACAATATCTCACATAATGACATGCATAAATACGTTAATATCTTTAAGCAATAAGCAAATGAAATGTAGACGTACGATTTTTATTTACAAAAAACAGTTCAAATGAAACAGTTATTTTAAAACCATTTACAATTATTCCTTCATTTTCATTTAAATTCATTATACAAATGAAAATAGATTTACGTATTTATTATTTAATTTTTAGAATAAAATAATGATATAATTGGTCAAAAATATGTAATGTTTAGTCATTTTAAATAAAGTACCGTTGAATTTTCAACATTTTTATCTACAAATATTTAATAATGTAATTACATTTCAATAACATTTTTTATACTCTATAATCGTTATCTACCGTGTATTGCCAAGTGTAATAAATAATAATAACAAACCAATAAAAAGATTTACATTTTATCTTATTTCATTTATTCCCAAAATCTTATATTTTAAATGTTACATTATATTCTATTGCACTTTGTGAACTTTTGAAAATTTTGTTGCTGTCCTTTTCTAGTGTTCAAGGTAAGAAAAAGATACTTGTATGCGGATGAACTACCTCCATATAATTCAATCCGCTGTATCCTAAATAATTTAATTTCTTGCCTTCTTCGATGTCTTTCTTCTTATTTATCAAATTATGCGAACAGGCCGATTCCTTCGCTCGTGTTGATCAACCCTAAAAAAAATAAACATCAATTAGGTACTAAGTATTTTTTAGTTTAAATCTAAACTTGTCAACCACAGACAAAAACAGCAACAATAAAACGATTGCATTTGCAAGCACGAACAATTGCATCGACATTTTACTGCCTGCACGAGCAATTGCAAATTGAAATGCATGCACAAACATCGTGAGATTTTTTCTGTTTTAAAACGACGTTATAAAACTATAAATATAATTATGATGTTTTTCTCATAAAACGTCCAATACTGTACACAGATTTGTATGGTTATTGCCCATCCTTCTATTTGTGCAAAAATTATGATGTTTTTAAATATATTTGAATACTTTTAGCATCGGCCACAGGCAAAACAAATCTATATGCATAATTAAAAAGGTTATATTTTTTCTGAGTCAACCTAACTTGCAATTTGATTTACGCCCCAATCAACCGAGAGTAATTAATATAAAAATATACCCAATATTTATTTCATAAAGATCACAAAGCGTCCCATTTTTCCCGTCTCAGTTTGAAAGGTTTCTAAATTTTTTATTTACTTATCTATTTAAACCAGACTTAACTGCTGTTCGAAATACGTGTTGAAGGATGGGCAGTAGCCGTACATAATAATAATACTGTCCAAAAAATATGTTCATAAAATACTCACGATAAACGTGTTAAAATCCATGTTAAGACCACTTTTACTAATTTTAATAACGTTTTATTGCACATAAATTTGCCAGAGCCAATGCTAAAAGTTCTGCGTTAGGTTTTTAAAACTTGTGTTGAAATACATAAACGTTATACTTGAAAATAAAATGTAAACGGTTAACAAATAAACTATGATTAAAGTGTTAATATTCAACTGAACGCTGATTAAATTTAAAAGGATGGGCATAAACGTATAAGAGAAGTTACGCCACTTTTATTAAAGCATAAATGAACAGATTTCGCAGTCAGATGTTCATCATTGCTGATGTAGTTCAAAGTACATCGGATCAGCTAGTTCTAACTAAATATAAGAAAGTATAATAAATATCAAAGTACCAATTTAAAACTAAGCACACCAAAGTATAACAGGCATCCATGAGGACAGAGATGATCCTAAAGAGAAAGATTAAGTCATTCATGTGTCTACAATTATAGCCGAGGAGTCTTCTAATATTGGGTCAATACGGTTTAGAATCCTTTCTATACGAAAATTTGTAAACATCTAAATCAGAATACGATAATTTACTTGATATTCAAGATCAATAAATAATAAATAAACTTATGAATGATTTTAAACCGATAAGTTCAGCTCAAAAAACCATGTTACTTGCTATGCTGTTATCAAACATGGCAAGAATTGCTGTATAAAATCACCCTTATAAAAACTATTGCTAATCAAAATTCCTATGAAAAAGAACGAGCAAGAAAACTACAATGAGAAAAGAAAGTTTTTGCAAAGCATTACGATAGTAGAAGCCTTGAAAGAGGTTTCTATATCGGGAACACCACGATACAGTCGATTACCATGATTTTATGTCTGCAATTTGCCCATACACAACCTCGCGACCAGCTCGATGGGGAAGCCGACGGGTTGAATGTACATTGATAGCTCGTCGACCAGAATCTTAAACTTCGTCGAAAAATCATTTAGAGCTTCCACCTTGAAGTCGTCGTTCCATGCTACTATGGCTGCTGCAAAAAAAAATAAAAAATATGTCAGTTTTATGTTATTCTTTCGTTTGGGAGCGAGTAGATGGATCACCCTATAGGTTTTTTTTTTTTTTTTTTTAAGGGGGAAAATCATCGAATGACTGCTCCCGCCCGGGTGAGGCGGAAGGGAGTGTCAGACTCTTACTGACTAAAAACCACCCCGTTCCTTCTCCTGCACGTCGAGCCGGAGCCCCGGTTACCCGTTAGGTTCTCCGCGACAACACCCTATAGGTTAATGATATTTTTATATTTTAATGTCTGTCTGGACGATATATTCATTTGAAATATGGCGTAATGTCACTTCTAGGTACGTTTTAGCTTCCAGTCCTTAACTATGATTCGTTTTATTTAAGTATTATTTTCTTAAACAACAAAGTAAAAAATATGGATTTAATTTTCATAACAGTCAAACGTCATCATCTCTATGTACATAAAATCTAACGAAATTTCTAATCATCAACAACCTATAAGTAGGTAGTATAAGGCCACTCCTGGCCAAAGGCCTCTTCTCATACGGAGAAGGTTTGAGCGCTAATCACCACGCTTGCTCAATTCGGGTTGGCGATTTCAAACTTATAATTAGAAATTACAAGCCCAGGTTTCCTAACGATGTTTTACTTCATCGTTTGTGATTGGTGTCTAGATAAACTTAGAAAGTAGGGGGAGTCCGGGAGAGTTTATCCACCTTTGACTAAAATGCTCATAAATCACTTTATATTTAAAAAATATAATTTTCTACAAATTGTACACTAAGCTGCATTATTAAGCTTTATTTTTTTCAAAGAAAATTTTATAAATCATTAATACTTTATAAGTAATTAACGATTTTTACCGAAATGAGATTTGGCTAATATCTCCCGCCTGGGTGGGAGACTTGACCCGCAAAGAAGGGAGACTTTACCCGGGTTTAAAACTAGGCAAAATAAAAACAACTAACTATAATTATATAAATAAATTTATTGAAAAAACATAGCACATAATAAAACGTAGTAAATGAGAACAAGAGCTACATAGTAGAGTATCTTTGACATACGGGTAGTGAAGAATTAAATACTTATCTCATATCACAGTAAGTGTTTATAAACATTTATCATTTGAAATTCTTTCTAACATAGTTTATAACAATATAATTAAGAATTTTCACAACCAACAGTTATTTTATAAAGAAAACAGTCTTTCTACAGCAAATGATCTTAAAAATTTAACAATATCTTATCAATATGGAGAAAAATGCTAACTAATATAGGCTAGGTATCTTTGTAGCAAACATAACAGTCTAAACCTATTCTATATGTGGCATAACTAAAAAAATAACTAAGGTACAAATAGTAAAACGTTAAAAGTAGGGCAGCAAAATAAAAAGACTTTCAAAACTAGGAACAAAAAAACTCAAAACAAAAAAAAAATCTTCGAAAAAAATCTCATAATCACCAGTGTTCCTTTTTTCGTTGGATCAATTAGGACAAATGAACTGTTCTTTATTTTCATTTTTAAACAGTCCAACGCATATTTCATGGACATTTTTACCACAAAAAGCGCAGTCTCATATCCATAACTTCGTTTTCTCCACACATGAAACAAAATATCAATTATTTTGTACTTCATTTCATGAACTATCAGAGCTATCTTCATATTTGGGCTTGTCTTCAAGGTCTGTCTCACTGGCACTTGACTGTAAAATTTGTCTTTTTGCAGACTTTTTCATTACTCAACCTATTTGTTTCTGTTTAGTTAATTTGATTTTTTTCTCAAACTCAATTCAGTTTCTTCTTCTAAATCCTCTAAACCAATCCATTCCTGCGCAATTGTTCGATGTCCATAAAGCTGGGACCTTTTTGGAATTACTGTTTTTTTTTGGATACTTACCTGAAATAAAAAACAAAAAAAAACTGGTTGTCTGTAAAGTTCAAGGGAAACAGAGGGAGAGATTACCCTGGGTAAAGCCTCCCACCGTCGCCAGGGTAATATCTCCCACCCCACACTAAGCTGTCTGTTATTCAATTTCTAAAAAAAACTATAATATTCAAATAAAAACTGTCTGTTGTATAGGTTATAAGGATAAATACACTATAGATATATATTCATGACACGCTGAAATCTATAAACAGTAAGCAATAGCACCCAAATCTCGAAAATTGAAAAAAATTACTTACCGGCCACAAAAACCTGTTTTCACGTGTTACTCGAAAACAAAACTGCCGATCGCAACGCCGCCACGTGAGCAAGGTGGGAGGGGACTATGGGTTTTAAGAACTGTGGCAATTTTGAAATATCTAGTTATACAGAGATTCTATGATCAGTGACTATTGTCTCCTCCCTGCTAAACTCTCCCGGACTCCCCCTACATATAACTCGGAAAAAGTCACATTGGTAATTGCCGTTGGTATGTTTCAAACCAGTACCCTCATGAATGCGAATCAGTCGTCTTTTCCAATAAGTCTATTGTACTTTTAGATATTAATTTTTTTTACTTACATGCTACTGCGAAGTAAGATAGTGCCCACAGCCAAAATGGCATCGTGGGTGCTCCCGATTATCAATAACCTATACAAAAAAATATTAAAATTACAGTCGGGCAAAACATTTTTGTTTTTATTAGAACCATAAAAAGTTACAATAAACTTTAATATATAGACCTTAAAGAACTAATACAATTATACTTATTGCAAACTCAACATCAATGGTCACCTAAAATATTATTGATTTACAAAATGATGAACCTGCACCGCAGTATAATCATAAGTTTCATAAGAAGTGTTACCGTGGTGAGTATTTTTTTTATGGCATAAGCCGGTAAACGAGCAAACGGATCACCTGATGGTAAGCAATCGGCGTCGCCCATGGACACCTGGAACACCAAAGGCGTTACAAGTGCGTCACCGGCTTTTTGAGGATTGGGAGTTTGAGGATCGTTGGGGATTCAGGGATTGGGGAGATTGGGGAAGGGAAAGGTAATTGGGCCTCCGGTAACCTCACTCACACGACGAAACACAACGCAAGCGTTGCTTCACGTCGGTTTTCCGTGAGGCCGTGGTATCACTCCGGTCGAGCCGGCCCATTTGTGCCGAATGGATGGCAACTTAAAACTCATGGTATTATATTGAGAATAGGATGATAGTTAACTATCACTAGTAGGTAATATTGTAAGTTTATTGGTTAGTTCAGAATATTACCAGCAAGAGGAGGAGACAGAGGGGTTCTTCCTCATAAGCGGCGTGCGCGGTCTCAGCGATGTCGCGCAGCCTACTAAGAAGAACCCCTCTGTGGTTCGAAACTAGTAGAGCTTTTCTCAGTATATTCACATGAGTAAACCGCGATTTTTAGTTAATTTAGCAACAAAGGAGGAGAGAATATAGAGTAAAGAAAACTATATAAACATAGATAGCCAAACTTCAATCACTTTTGCCGTTTTGCCTTAATTATTTTATGATATAGACCGGTTAACGAGCATACCGATCATCTGATGGTAAACCATCGGCGCTGCCCATGGACGCCCAGTATGGCAATACAAGTGCGTTGCCGGTCTTTTAGAAAATTAAGAAATTGAAAATCTATGATTTGAGGAATGGGGGAAATAGGACAGCCCGTGAATTTCCCTTCTTTTTTAAACCCTTCAGTATCCTCAACTCACACGGCGAAACACATCGCAAGCGTTGTTTCACGCCGGTTATCTCAGAGTCCGTGGTATTACTCTAGTCGACCTGGTCCGTTTGTGCTAAAGCATGACTCTTCTACAACATTGCGTTGCTGGATATAAGCCTCTCCTAATAATTTTTAGACAGACAGATTTTTAGAAGTGATCTGCATTCAATGATTCCAAACTTACCGGGAAAAAATTCTTGCAAAGATTACTATGGTAACAGTTCATTTTGCATTTCTGATTATTTCTTTTTGCATAGACGGGAATCATAATATTTTTGTATCCTCATTATTTTTACATTTTTTGACACGAAATGATAAGTCATCTGTCAGACTAACAAAAAATTATGAATGAAATCTATGGAACTGTTTCGTTTGAGGTTTAATGTATTTATATTGTGTATCGATATCAAAAACTCCTTTGGAGGGAACAGGGAAAGTACCTTACAGTTACCTGAATACTGTACCTCTAGAAATACAATTTTACTGACACAAAATTTTCGTTCCAAAAACAATTTATCCCGCGTTATAAATTTATAACATAACATAACATCACGCCTTTTATCCCCGAAGGGGTAGGCAGAGGTGCACATTATGCCACTGTACAATGTAACACCCACTTTTCACTATTTATGTTTTATGAGTCCCATGTATTAGGGGGTGAGCCTATTGCCATATACGGGGCACAATTCCAGACTGCGTACTACTACTGAGATTTTTTTTAAAACCCAGTAATACTTTATAATTGTATATTTTTGCTAAATAACACAATGCGCCAGAAATTATACATTTTCACATTTGATTTTGAATTTATTCAGAAAAAAAGTTTGACACTTAAAATTATTTGTGTCCAATTAAAAATCGTGGTGCAATTCTCTAATCTACTAAAATGTGTTCGAAGAAAAATAAACAAACAAAAGAAAAATGCAAATGTTTATTTACAACTAAGTAAATATATATTTAAGGCCATAGTTTTTATTTCACATGACTTCCTCTCGGTTTCATCAGCCACTTAATTCTTTATTTTCCTTCTAATCAGTTCAAATATTTGATACATCTCATATTATTCCATGATGTATTGATTTGCTAAATAAATATCATCTTGTTTTAACTGTCAATGAGCTTCTTCGCATAATTTAGTTCGCGTTCCAAAGTTGCCGCTTACGCACGAACGCGAAACGTTGGACACGTAAATAATTTAAAATTTTTGTATAAATAATGATTTCAAAAAATTGATTTTGTATAAAAACCAAGGTTTTGGTTTAATTTTAATTTTTATGTGAATAGTTATATATATTTTTATAAGAATTGTGATGTGGATTAATTATAATTAAAGTTGAAGCATATTTTAATTGCTTTTTCAAAGTGTGTCGTCTTTAAGTTTTGGTGTGACAGCTTTTTTTATTTTGATTAATTGAATTTAGTAAAAATGAAGAAATATTTTTACTTTTTCAATGAAGGGAGCAAGATCAACCAGATCATATGCGCTGTACTGGGTAAGTTTTGTTGTTTCTTTTAGTTTTATTTATTTTATAATAAACCTCATTAAAATAATTAAAAAAAATATAATAATATCTTTGAAAGATAATAGAAGATATTACTATTTTTAAAAGTACAAGTCACAAAAGTTTAGCGCAGATTAACATAACATAACATCTCACCTTTTACCTCCGAAGGGGTAGGCAGATGTGTACCTATATTACGGCACTTAATGCCACTGTACAATGTAACAGCCCGTTTTCACTATTTATGTTGTAAGTCCCATGTAATAGGGGGTGATCCTATTGCCATATACCGGACACAATTCCAGACTCCGTGCTACTATTGAGAATTTATGTTTTTAAAATCCCAATAATACTTTGTCCGACCCGGGAATCGAACCCGAGATTCCTCGCCCGCTCTTGCGACCACTCGGCCTGTGAGGAAGTCCTCTATTTACCTAGAAAATAATTGTTAAATTCCAACGTATAAGATAAATCTTTTTGGAAACAAAATTATATACCTGTACAATTAATTATTGTAGTACATTCAATAGTAGCTTATATTAATCATGGAATCACGACACACCTTACCATTTCGAGGCAACTACTGACTACACCCATATTTTATAGGTACTCCAATCGATCCTTGGACTTAGTGTTCAATGGTCAAAACAAATAAATAGAGGTAAAAAAACTAATAACAAACAAAAAGTCAATACTAAAAAGCAAAAAATAACTATTATTAGTATTGATAGATTACCCACCCACTGATAGGTAAGAAGTCGGTGCCATAAGTTCCATACAAAATTATTCATTAAAACCTTAATAGGTAGGTACCTAATTCACAATTTTGTGGACATTACGTTATATCATTATGATATGAGCTTATGGCACCGACTTCTAACCTATCAGTGGGTGGGTAATCTATCAATACTAATAATACCTAGTTATTTTTTGCTTTTTAGTATTGACTTTTTGTTTGGTATTAGTTTTTGGTTTTTGAAGTCGGTTTTTTAAACGCAGTTTTTATTTTATTATTTTACCATTTTCAGTGTAAAGCTACATATACCCGTTTTGTTACTTATAATATACATAGGTGCAAAGTTCTAAGCAATACAAATTGTTCAAGCTCAAACACAAGGTACTTACAATATACCGTTGAGGAGTTCCCTTAACAATTACACTTCTTCATGATCAGACCCTTAATGACAGCCCCACTCTATTTAGGTGTAAAGTCCTCATCAATACAAATTAATCAAGCCCAAACTCAAGGTAGTTACTGTATACCGTTGAGGAGTTCCCTTAACAATTACACTTCTTCATCATCAGACCCTAAATGACAGCCCCACTCTATCTAGGTGTAAAGTCCTCATCAATACAAATTAATCAAGCCCAAACTCAAGGTAGTTACTGTATACCGTTGCGGAGTTCCCTTAACAATTACACTTCTTCATCATCAGACCCTTAATGACAGCCCCACTCTATCTAGGTGTAAAGTCCTCATCAATACAAATTAATCAAGCCCAAACACAAGGTAGTTAATATAAACCGCTGAGGAGTTCCCTCGACTGTCTGTCGACTCCATCATCAGGTCGACTCCAGACCCTTATTAAATTGTAGTGTTTAAAATTTGTAATTGAAAAACATAATAGACGCATTACTCCCTCATAGAATTTTCGAAAGTTCCCCTCGGTTTCCCTAGGATCCCATCATCAGATCCTGACTTCATGGAAATGGGACCATCTCGGGAGTATACCCTTTCAAACAAAACAAAAATTTCCCAAATCGGTCCACAAACGGCGGAGTACTGCGCGAACAAAACAAAAAAAAAAAAAAAAAAACAATCAGCCGAACATAGTACCTCCTCCTTTTTTTGAAGTCGGTAATAAACCTCGCTATCTTTAGGGTCAGACCAAATCAATGCGATGTTATCATCGTAATCAGTGGATCCTTTATAAGCAAAAGTCTGCTTTATTGACTTTTAATTACAGTTAATTATTGTTAGGCTATAATGTAAAGTCTTGTACTGATATTGAATGCAATCAATGGTGTGCTTTCTACATTGCAATTAAAGATTCACAGTGAACGTCTTGTTGGTCGAATCACATCGTAAGTTCAATCACCCTGCTTCGGGTATCGTAGCGTTTCTCTGATATCATATTATGGAGCCTAAATATTAGTGTTCTGCAACGGTTTGGCCTCTCATTACTGATTTACATGTATTATGGATACCAGGGATAATCGAAAATGTCGGATATCCGATACAAAAAAATATCCGTAACCGTAACCGAATCCGAAATAAAAGTTTCGGATACTATCGGATAGGGGCGTGCGTGACGTATAAGTGAAACCATTATATTAGCTATTTGTATTTTACTTTTGAAACTCCTTAAAATTTTAATATCCGTAACCGAAATTATCCGAAACATTAACATACATAACATCACGGTTTTTATCCTCGAAGGGGTAGGCAGAGGTGCACACAGAAGTAATACCCACTTTTCACTATTTACGTTATGAGTCCCATGTAATAGGGGGTGAGCCTGTTGCCATATATCGGGCACATTTCCAGACTCAGTTCTACTACTGAGATTTTTTTATTAATCCATTAATACTTTGCCTGTTCCGGGAATCGAACCCGAGACCCCTTGCTCGGTAGTCGCACTTGCGACCACTCGGCCAACGAGGCAGTCTATTATCCGAAACTAAAGGATAATCCGAAATAATTTCACATCCGTATTCAATCCGTATCCGAAATTTCATATCCATAACATCCCTGATTGTGACCTATTTTTTAACCGACTTAAAAAACAGTAGGAAACAGTTTTTTGTTTGACCTGTAACTATGTATGTATGTGTGTATGTTTCTGCACGAATATCTGACGATTTGCCGATTTTGATGTGTTTTCAGAAAAGTGTTTGTTACACTTAGGGGAAGGTTTTAGTATATTAATTAACTGACTTCCAAATTTGTTTGAAGTCGGTGTTGCTAAACGTAGTTTATAAAAATAATTAATTATTTTTGAAGTTGATATAGCTGGTCTTGGATATAGGCGCAAATGAAACTGTCGAACATAAGGTCTTTGGTTTGATAACTTAAATTAGGTAAAGTGATATTGGGACCTATTTGGCTTTTCGAAAATTTCTCTGAGTTTGGAATGGATTAGATTTTGGATTTGTTCTAATTGTATGGCAATAGGCCTATGCCCGAATACTTGGGCTCGCTGCCATTGCAGCGGTAAGTCCCCTCTTTGAGGAGTGGCTTGAGAGACGCTACGGCGTCCTCACCTACCGCCTGACGCAGGTCCTCACCGGACATGGAAGTTTCGGGAGGTACCTGTGTCTGATGGGGCGGGAGGAAACGCCCGGGTGTCATCACTGCGAGGACCGCCCTGAGGACACGGTGGAACACACTGTTGCGGAATGCCCTGCGTGGGCTGAGCACCGCCGTGCCCTCAGGGAAGTGATCGGCGATGGAGACCTCTCGCGTCCGGGCCTAGTTCAGGCCATGATGCGGAGCGAGGGGGACTGGGATGCCGTCTCCTCCTTTTGCGAAGCAGTCATGCTGGCTAAGGAGGAGGCGGGACGCGCGAGGCAGCGAAGCGCTGCCTCCTCGCAACCCAGCCATCGCGAAGGACACACCGGGCGTCGGGGATCGCGGGACGATCTCCGGCCACCGTAAGCGCGGGCCTGCGGACGGCGAGCATGGGTGGCTCCCCGTCCGACCAGAAACAGACCCGAGCGTACGGCGCGTCGCGTTCCGCGCGCGCCTCAAAGAGCCATCAGACCACCACAGATGGGGCCCAATAGGGCCGATGCCGATTCGGAGTCGCGGAGAACCTAACGGGTAACCGGGGCTCCGGCTCGACGTGCAGGAGAAGGAACGGGGTGGTTTTTAGTCAGTAAGAGTCTGACACTCCCTTCCGCCTCACCCAGGCGGGAGCAGTCATTCGATGATTTTCCCCCCTTAAAAAAAAAAAAAAAAAAAAATGCCCGAATACTGAAATGCTACCTACTCAATTTTAAGTCGTGCTTAAGAATAGTTTTATCACTACAAATTCTTTGTAAAATGATAGAGATGGTACGATATTTAATTAGTCCCATTATATAGAACAGTGTCTTCGAAGTTTTTCTTAATACCTATTTTACCTTAACTACACACAGTATGTTACATAAATTCATCCCATTTTCTCACATTTCAATTTAATATAGTATATTTATTACAGTAAACATGCAGATTCTTTTTGTAAACAGATGGTAAACCGATATATGGTAGTCACGATACAGGCTATACCTAGTGCGGTTGTCACAGCTTAAATTGTAAAATTGTAACTGGTTATGAATTGTATGGAACTCATGACACTAGCAAAAAGTGAATTTTCTATTTTATGCACCTTTACATCCCTAAGGAAATTAACTGTCATGACGTAACACACGTTACATTAATAACTATTTCCAGTTCTGTAACCTTTATTTTTTCTTCTGTAGTAAACTTACCAGTCTTCGCATACGGAGCCAGCATAGGATGGATGTCACCAATGTCATTGCTGCTTCAATCCAAAAACTCACCCAGGGCTGTACCACTGACTGATTATGAGGTAAGCGAGACTATATTTGATGACATATGGTATCAGGACGTGGTCCCTGACCTCTGGCCTGTTAAAAAAAGCTCAATGTCACTCAGCGGGCGATTTAGAGAGTTATGCTCGGGGATTCTTTGCGCGACAAAATCCGAAATATGAAAAGTTGCCTAAGAACTGTTACCGACATAACTCGTAAAATCTGCAGACTGAAATTGTAATGGGCAGGCCACGTCGCTCGACGAAGTGTTGGCAGATGAGCCAGGAAATCCTTGAGTGGAGACCAGGACAAACCGGAAGACGAAGCATCAGGCCTCGCGCTAGGTGGACTGATGACATCGCCAGAATTGCGGGGAGCTAGTCGATGCGGGTGGCGAAATGTCGTTCGACGTGGAGGATTAAGGGGAGGCCTTTGTCCAGCAGTAGACGTGTTTCGGCTGATGATGAAGGGGTGGTTTTTAGTCAGTAAGAGTCCGACACTCCCTTCCGCCTCACCTAGGCGGGGACAGCCATTCGATAATTTTCCCCCCTTAAAAAATCTGAATGAAATTGTGTTCGTAAACGCACCCATGAAATAACCCATGTACTGAAGACAAGTTTAAAAGAACATATCATGTTAGAAGATATTATATGTATTTCCAATATGATATTAATACATTCATTTAAAAATCGGTCTTCTATTAAAGGGATGTTTTGACGAAGCTTTGTTACGACTTAATTAATTTGCAGGTATCCTGGATAGCATCAGTGCCATATTTAGTATGTATTCCGGCTGACTTCTTAATGGCAATACTAAGTGACAAGTTAGGAAGAAAACTGACACTGTTCTTCACGTCTGCTACATCATTTGTAAGTAATTAAAAGTAAAAGGGTAAATTATCTCATAACATAACATCACGCCTTTTATCCTAGAAGGGGTAGGCAGAGGTGCACATTATACCACTGTACAATGTAACACCCACTTTTCACTATTTATGTTACGAGTCCCATGTGACAGGGGGTGAGCCTATTGCCATATACCAGGCACAATTCCAGACTCTGTGCTACTACTAAAATGTTTTTAAAACCCAGTAATACATTGCCCGACCCGGGAATCGAACCCGAGACCCCTTGCCCGGCAGTCGCAGTTGCGACCACTCGGCCAGCGAGGCAGGCAGTAAATGATCTCATCCCCTATTATATGTAAATGGTACTCCTAACATAGCTGTTAAAAAGTGGGTCTTACATTGTGTACGTGTTTATCTTCTTACTCTATCTACGGCTTGATTTAAAATTACATGCATTTTCAGCTGGCCTGGACGATAAAACTGGCATCAATGGAAGTATGGGCATTCATCTTAGCCAGAGCACTATTTGGGATTACTATGGCTGGAGCTTACGTCACATGTCCACTGTACACTAAGGAGATCAGCTCAGCTAATGTCAGAGGGACTCTTGGTACTCTGGTAAGAATATTTATTTTTTTAAATTGCATAAATTTTGAATTTTGTTCAGTGTTTGTGATCGGTAACAAATTGTATAGAAGAGAAGCTGATAAGAATACGTTGGTAATCAACCCCGTTCCCACCACTGGTATCGTAAGAATCGAGTAACAAGACTACATACGTAACCTCGTACGGAGCGTAACCTCATGCCTGACTCCCATAGGGGTAGGCAGACCAAGACTACAAATTTCACAAAGTACGAACTCCAGTGCTGTTTGATAAACCTTAAACTTTTTGACGTGACTACGTCTTATAAATTGGTTTGCCGGGTGACACTTCAAGAAACTGCGTTACGCTCCGCTCACGTTATGCGCTCACAATGAGAGCGAGTGAGAGGCACGCATCCCTTCCACTCGGGCATGGTTAGCCCGCCTAAGAGCGAGAGAGACAGAGCGAGAGAGAGAGAGAGAGTGAGAGAGATAGGCACATTATTTTACCACTCAAAGTCGTTGTCACGTAAAACTTTCGCCCGTATACCGACTTTACAGGCAACCAATTTTTTAACTGCGATTTTAACCTGCCTGCCTGAAAAGAAGATGCTCAATAGTAGCCTTGCTCAATAGTTGCTTTCTTTTCCAGGTTATATTATTCCACACGACAGGAAACCTCTTCCTCTACATTATAGGAGACATCCTCAGCTATAGAACTATCCTATGGATCTGTCTGATGCTGCCAACCCTTCACCTAATCCTCTTTATAATGATGCCTGAATCTCCTTCGTATTTAATCAAGAAAGGAAAGACTGATGTAAGTTAATCTTTAATGTTCTAAAAATAAATATGAAATTCATTTAATATTTGTGTTGTCAAAAGGACCTATATAAAACAGTTTTATGAACTGGTTTGATATTATTATATTTGTAGTTGTTTGGTTAATTTAAATAACTTTAGTGCGATGCTCTGAGTACTTTTACGTTTTCAATTGCCAAATTGTTTATCATACATAATGTAGCATGAATTTGGAACTTCTGATAGTGTTTAGAAAAAGGCAACTTCTTCTTCATAGTATGTGGTACTAGCTGTACCACTATTGGTTTAGTGACAAAATTAATTAATGATAAAATTACTACTGCTTCGTAGTCAATGGAGATAAAGTAGCCTTTGACACCGTCCAGCTTCTTAAGCATGTTTTTTTTTAAACTTTGTCCCACACTAGTATTTTCTCTTGTGTCATGGGTGCGTTTACAAACATACAATTTCACATACACATGACACCCAGACCCGAAACAACATTTTGTGGATCACACAAAGAATTGTTTGCGGGAATCAAACGTGCCACACGTTGCACGGCAGAAGGTTGCTTAGCCACTGCATTAACGGCGCAGTAAAAAAAAAACAATGAAATTAATATACTTTAGCACTTGTGTTAAAATTAAGGATATTGATGCGTTCATGGAGTCCCAAAATTGATAAATTTAAAAATAGATATACCTAATATCTACTCAAAATCAATTGAGATGAACCGGTATTTATACGCAGTATGCCAAAATTCGCATCATCAATTAGGACAGGTTTTATTTAATTTACATACCTAATACCATTAAATCATTAAAAACACAAAGATAAAATGTAGTATTTATACTTAATCTAGAATTTTAGTGACCTTGAACTATTAGTGTTGTTTTTTTCTTGGAGTCAACTTTGAGTTATATAAATCTCTGCCACTTTGACTTTTGTATTTTCTTTTTTTTTTGAGTAGCAAACACTTGAAAAAGTATATCAGAAGAAATAGTTTATGTAATTAACTAGCTTTTACCCGCGGCTTCGCTCGCGTCACAAAAGGAAAAAAAGTAGCCTATGTGACATATAACGATATACACAGCGCCATCTATACCAATACTTTTGTTTTCCCACGGGAATATCAATTTTTCCGGGATAAAAAGTACCCTATTATTTTATTTGGACTTCTAACTTTACGTCTGCAAAAATTCAAAGCTATCGGTTTAGTAGTTACGGCGTGAAAGCGGAACAAACAAACTCACTTTCCGATTTATAATATTAGTAAGGATAGTAAGGATTTATTTATATATGCTTTATTGTACACATTTAAGTAGCTTAAAACAAACCATTCAAGTATATATGCGTACAATGGGCGGTCTTATCACATAGTTCTTCATTGGGAAACATTGTTTCAACGCCGACGATGTCGACAAGCATGTGGCTTGCGCGTACTAAACTGTGCCGTGTGGTAGACACGTCTGTGTTTAGTCTTTTCATGGGACAAGCATGCGCAAATAAAACTGTGGTCAAGCATGCACATGTGGTAGGCGCTTAAAAACTTAAGTTAATAATTTTACAACATATACCTAAATATTTGATTGCTTTTATTTTAGTGTGCAATGTTGCAAAAAAAATGTTGTGCAATAAAGAAACTAATCCTAATTCCTAAAATACTGATATCGCACTTCTAACACCTCTGGTGTTTCGGGTGTCCATGGGCGACGCCGATTGCTTGCCATCAGGTGATCCATTTACTCGTTTACCGGCTTATTCATAAACAATTTTTATCTATACGCTGTAATATTTGTATAGTTTTCGTTCTGAAGTCAAATGAAATAAAATGTTTCAAATAACTGGTGAACCATTGCAAAAAGTAAACTTAGAAAGTACACACGGACTCATAATACGTAATCAAAACATCACGCCATTTAATTCTCGAAGAGGTATTTCCTGGTGATAGGTATGTGCGACGCGAATAGTGCCTATTGTACATCTCGTGTCTCGTTCTTGTGTGCATAGTTCGATGAATATTTTTTTAAACTAAAAGAAAATTAACTTTTTTTTTGTTTTGCTTTGTGGATAGGAAGTAGGTACTCCTTTTTTATTTATATATGAATTTTCGTTCATTATTCTCGCTAAAACTCGAGAACGGCTGTACCTCTTTCGCTAATTTTGCATTTGAAATGTTCGTGGAAGTTCAGGGACGATTGAGTTAAGGGTTAAACAGTTTTTTTTGGCGGTACGTAGTGTTCCTTGTCCGCTAGTATTTTTATATTTGCCGTGGAGAACCTAAAAAGTTACCGGGGCTCCGGCTCTAAGTGCAGGAGTAGGAACGGGGTGGTTATTAGTCAGTAAGAGTCTGGCACTCCCTCCCGCCTCACTAAGGCGGGAGAAGGCATTCGATGATTTTCCCACTTTAAAAAAAGGATTTTTATATTGATATTGTATATGTTATTACTCTTTATGGCAATTTGTTATACCGCAGGACGTAATATAAATTTCACTATTTTTTTTATAGCGGAGTATTACATTTACATTATAGCGAATCTACATAGCAGATATGTTAAAATATGATAAAAGAAGGTTCTGTCAGTTTATTATCTATCACATAAAACCCATAAAACTCATTATAAATAATATTATTTATATAAGATTAACAGTATAGCTTAATGGTGTAAGCTATAACACTACAGCTTACATGAAAATTTTCTAAATAAATAAAATAAAATAGCTGGCGAAACGTGGAACATCTACAACTTTGTAACTATTGCAATTATGTTCTAATAATAGTGTTTCCACGTGAACTACCATGTGTACAAACAGACGTCAGTCAGGGAATTTCACATTCTTAACAATACCTTAACATATTGACAGAATTTAAACGAATTTATTTGATTTAGATAACATTGCTACTACTTACCTTCCAAATATTATCATTTGTAGTGGAGTTGTATAAACACGAAAATCTTATTTGATAAAGATACCAGACGCGTATTATTTATTGTTATATTATTACATGTGGTTATTGGTTGATCTCCGAGGGGTAGGTAGGGGTAGTGGGTAACGATCTCCGGCAACCGTAAGCACGGGCCTGCGAACGGCGAGCACGGGTGACTCGCCGCCCTACCAGAACCAGACCCGAGAGTACGACGCTTAACCTTTCGCGCACGCCTTAAGGAGCCATCAGATCACCACAGATGGGGCCCAACAGCGCTGATGCCGATACGGAGCCGCGGAAGACTTAATGGGTTACCGGGGCTCCGGCTCGAAGTGCAGAAGTAGAAACGGGGTGGTTTTTAGTCGGTAAGAGTTTGACACTCTTTCTCGTCTCACCCGAGCGGGAGAAGCCATTGGATGATTTTCCCCCTTAAATAAAAAAAGGGTAGTGGTTAGAGGTGATACACCTGCGCTGCGGACAACTTAACGGGTTGCCGGGATCCCGGGTTAAGGCAGGAGTAATAACGGGGTGGTTTTCAGTCAGTAAGAGTTTGACACTCTCGCCATACCCAGAGCCGGAGAAGCCATTAGATTATTTTCCCCAAAAAATAAAAATATTATAAATAGCGTAACAATGCTCCACTGATCAAATATACCTACTAATCTTTCGAATACGACGTCCTAAAATAGAATGTGGATCTCCCTAACCAGTGATTTGTTCATTTGCATGTTCAATACGCTGAAGCAAGCGTAGTAATTATTTCATTTATACACAGATAACTCAACAGCTTATTTAGTAAAGGGCACATGTATAATATTAACATGGCATAGAATCCTTAAGCCAATTATAGAGCGTTTCGGCATGCGTTAAGTAAAAACAGGAGAGTGAACAACATAAAACAAAAATAAAAGAAACAAGGAATATTTATAATAATATAAATAACTATAGTTAGTTGGTAATGCTCATTCTTTCTTTATGAGATAAGATGCATTTGCAAACCAATGGATACTTATAAATTATGCTATTGACGTGATATAATACGTAGTTTTTATGACTCCACTAAAAACCGAGTGACGACAAAGTCAAAGTCAAAGTCAAAGCATTTATTTCAATTAAACCATAGTTTGGTACTTTTGAAACGTCAACAAATACAAAATAAATAATAGTCTGTCAGTCAGTCCGGCAGTGAAACTAGATGAAGCTAGGTGCTCATTCCAAAAAGTAGATTCGAATGGAGAAGAACGAGCAAGAAACTCCATTCGTTACTCTTTTTAAAAAAGTATGTTCTACAATGTCTCTGATACATATTTCAATACTGTACGCATATGTAAGAACAATGCAAAGACACGCTTGACGCATTATACTAATAAATTACTAAAATTAAAAAAAAATAATAAATAAATAAAAATCTTAGAGTCTAACATGGTGCTCACATATGCATACTGACAATCCATAGAATTAATGCTTCTATACAAGAAAAGGAAACTCTTTGTTGACAAAACAACATCTTATGGTTTCGTTAAGGGAGATCGTAATTATTTACCGGTAAATTCAAACAAATGCCTCGTTGATCGAGTGGTTGCAAGTGCGACTGCCGGGCAAGGGGTCTCGAGTTCGATTCCCGAGTCGGGCAAAGTATTACTGGGTTTTTTAAAATTCTCAGTAGTAGCACGGAGTCTGGAATTGTGCCCGGTATATGGCAATAGGCTCACCCCCTATTACATGAGACTAATAACATAAATAGTGAAAAGTGGGTGTTACATTGTACAGTGGTATAATGTGCACCTCTGCCTACCCCTTCGGGGATAAAAGGCGTGATATTATGTTATGATGATGATGTTATATTAAATTTTTTATTGTTTTCCAGGAAGCTATTAGGTCGATGGCGTGGCTAAGATGTAGACAGGAGGACGACCCACAAGTGATAAGTGAAGTGAACCAAATCAAGAAAGAACAAATGAAAGACGAAGAAAGCAATAGATTTGTTTTAAAGGCTATACGTAAGTAGAATTGAGATGATGAGAGGGTATGAAAATTAAAAATCTAATTATTCCGTAAGTTAGGTAATGTAAAAATATTAGACACGTATTTTTTTATTTAGTCGTATAACATAACTCATCTGCCAAGCATAGATGTTATAGAAGAAAACCGTTTTATGAGGAGGAAGTCCATAGTATTGGACTGTTATTAGCAGTTCATGCTATTGATTGGACGAGGTCTAGTGTTTGGATCTCAAGTCCATCTAGCGACTTCGTTAACAAACATCATCGAGTCTAAATTAATATAAACGTATTATTTTTTTAAATGAGAATTATGCCTGTGTTTGAATGTGTTCGGTTTTACGGGTTCGGAAATATGTACTAAAGTCTTATTACCTACGGAAGATGCTACCATAATAACAAAAAAAAAACACTATATACGCACAATGAGATACAATTGAATTGCATGGTCGTAAGCGCTCAATGAGCTTGATTGGACTCTTTAATAGCGACAATTACCAAAATAATATCATTGGATGAATCTTGGTGTATATCTGACGATTGGATGCCATTGAATAGAATATTGGTCGCACACAATGTGTTTGGTCTTTGGACTGGCAAAAGAATACTGGTGGTCATAGATATAGAAATGTTGAAAAGTGACTCAAAATATCTTTACATTTATACAACACTTGCGTTACTGACTGACTGACAGACAGACACAGCCGAAACTACTGGTTGCAGAGAGCTGGAATTTGGCATTTGTGTTCCTTAACCCCTCGAGCGTCCTTATAAGCACCAAGATCATAAGAAAAAATGCTCCAAATGTCACGTGTGCACCCGTTGGGTCATAAGGAACGCGGACGCTCGACGGGTTAAGGAGTTCACTAAGGTCCCTTTTCACCAAGCTCTGTAAAAACTCAGTTACACATAACCTAAGTTCTGTGTTCTGTGTTTTCTGTACTGAGTTCCGTGTAAACTAGTTTCTGTTTGTAGCGGTGAAATGTAAAATGAAGCTGTAACTTCGTTTAAACGCTTTAAATTCGATTAGACGCTTTAAATCAGTTTTGTTAGGTGTAATCGTGATCAGTTTCGTTGGTGAAAAGGGACCTAAGAGAAGATTTCCCTAAATGAATTTGGGAATTACCTAATTGTGTTAAGTGGATTGGGAGACAATGCCCAAGGCATAAGTAGGTACACTTGTTTGTTGTATTAAGTTGAATTAAATAAATTAAATAAACACATGGGGGATTATTTTTTCAGCCTTCAAGAGCAAATATTGTGTCACAATATGTAATGTTTAAACATCTTCGTGTATTTACAGTACCGTGCGAATTTTATTTGCGATTGTTATTTGTTAGTTGTTTAAAAATATATAAACATGTATGTAGTCAATGTAGTCATGTAGTCAACAATTATTATTAAAGAAATATGATCTTTTATAGTACAACTAAAAGACGAATTTAATAATTATGTGGTCATCAATTCATTTACTTTATTCAAATAAAAAACTTAAATTAAAACTATTACTTAAATAAAATTAAAACTAAATATTACTAAATTAATTATAAAAAAAACAAAAACAACTATTATCATGTGGTCATCTAATTTTGACCATTTTCTATTTAAGTTAGTTGCGCTACTTAAGTTGTGTCATTTATTTATTGAAGTATCGACATCACAATAGGGAAGATGACTAATTTTTATTATAATGTCCGTCTGGTAGATTATTTAAAAATATTAGACACGTATTTTTAATTTTTTTACGGATACGAATAGTTTCGGAAATAATATATTGATTTGAAATGTCGCGTGACGTCATTTCTATGTATATTTTATACGTAGAAATGACGTTTTAGCCCTCACTCCTACACTTTGATTCGTTATATCTAAGTTTCATTTTATTATACAACAATATAAAAAAATACGTATCTAATATTTTTTCATTACCTAACTGACGGATTAATTACATTTTTAGTTTTCATACCCTGTCATCATCCCTAATCGAATGATCGACCTCCATTATAACTTGAGAATTGAGATGCTGCTATAAAACTCTATAGTCACTGGTATTAGGACTAAAATACAACCCAACTTTTAGTTTATCTCTGCCTCCCCATTCAGGCTTCAATCGTTTTAAAATCATTATCATTGACTACATAAAAATATTTTTATGGTATACTGTTTTAGTAAACTCTATTCTACCCTATTACCCTATTACTCACCCCCTATTACATGGGACTCATAACATTATAGTGAAAAGTGGGTGTTACATTGTACAGTGGTATAATGTGCACCTCTGCCTACCCCTTCGGGGATAAAAGGCGTGATGTTATGTTAAAAATGTATTCTACCCTATCAAGGTTTTTCATTTGATGTCCATAATGGATGTATACATGGAAAAAAATTATTATAATATTGTATGGTCATTATAATTAAGTGTGTGTACTAAATATCAGATTGATCTGTCGTCAGAAAGGGGCGAATCTTTAACTACTTACTTACTTTACTTATACTAGGTTTATTTTTTTCCAGTGCAAGACAAGATACTTACAAGGGCGTTCATAATAGCTATAGTATTAACATTAGCTAGAGAAGTATGTGGTTCCATACCAGTGCTGAACTTCGCTGGAGAGATCTTCTACATGTCTTCTGAAGGATCTGGTATAGTACTGACTCCTAACCAACAAGCCATGGCTCTTGGAACGGTGCAGGTCCTTGGAGCAGCTCTGGCATCATTCCCAGTGGAAAAGGCTGGGAGAAAGGTAAGATTTATGCCGTACGATTAATGAAACTAGATTAGAAAGAAAGAAACAACATTTATACGACAGTAGGCACGCACACTGATAAAAAAAAAATACAAAATTAAAATAGAAAATAACAAATAAATACACATATTTATATAAATTTTTTAAGGGGGGAAAATCATCGAATGACTGCTCCCGCCTGGGTGAGGCGGAAGGGAGTGTCAGACTCTTACTGACTAAAAACCACCCCGTTCCTTCTCCTGCACGTCGAGCCGGAGCCCCGGTTACCCGTTAGGTTCTCCGCGACTCCAAATCGGCATCGGCCCTGTTGGGCCCCATCTGTGGTGGGCTGATGGCTCTTTGAGGCGCGCGCGGAACGCGACGCGCCGTATGCTCGGGTCTGTTTCTGGTCGGACGGGGAGCCACCCATGCTCGCCGTCCGCAGGCCCGATATTTATATAGATATAGAATAAAAAAACAAAGAAACGACAGAGTATAACAACAAAGTGACAATACAATAATAACAGTAATTAAAAATTAATGAAAACAAGATATAAATAAATAACATGTAACAGCGCGTACCCTTGCCAAAAGGGCCTCCATCTCAGCATTACGTTGAGGGTACCTACATGCCCAACGCTGATTTTCAGATGGCACCCTGAATTTAGATTAAAGATCTAATTATTCTATTAGACCCGTCTAGTACGAAGGGAAGTAGTATTTTTGTACAGTCAGCATAGATACTGCGTTCAATGTCTTTTTATCATAAGTAATTTAATTTTATGGGTAACTGTGCATAAGAAATAGTAATCTAATTAAATCCTAGATTTGTCAATACAAATGCCTTTACTTTATTCTTCTTTTTGTCCACAGCCACTTTTCATAGGCACAGCTCTAGTGTCTGGACTCAGTATGTGTGCCCTCGCCTCCTGGTTCGTAGCTCGAGAGTACCATGTATTCGCGCCAGCCTGGATACCCGTCACCACTCTCTGTTTGTGCATCTTCTGCGACGCGCTTGGTCTACAACCAGTGTCTGTTATTGTTACTGGGGAGATTTTCTCTTTCAAGGTTAGTTATAATACTTTTACAGGATAATACTCAAGTAAAAAGTAAGACAAAAGAAGATCGGATGATATAATAAAATATAACATAACATCACGCTTTTAATTCCCGAAGGGGTACTTTACGGCATTTAATGCCACTATACAATGTAACACCCACTTTTCACTATTTATGTTATGAGTCCCATGTAATAGAGTGTGAGCTTATTACCATATACCGGGCACAATTTCAGACTCCGTGATACTACAAAAATTTTATTTAAAAAAAAACTCCGTATTACTTTTCCCGACCCAAGATCCCTTGCCCGATAGTCGCACTTGCGACCACGTGGCCAACGACGCAGTCTATGTAGGATATACTATACACAAATTAATAAACAATTTTATTTTTCCAGTACCGAGGTTCAGTGATGGCGATCACAATGTCAGCTGCATCATTAGCTGCGTTCGCACAAACATTATTCTTCAAGCCACTAGTCAACGCAGTGGGTGGGCCTCACGTGGCATTCTTCTTCTTCGGAGCAGTGTGTCTGTTAACTACTGTTTACGTAGCTATCTGCGTACCAGAAACTAAGCAAAGAATTATAGAAGAGATCTACGAAGACTTGAAGACAAAGAAGGAAAAGAAAATGGATAGAGAAAAGGTTATAGCTATAGAATCAGGAAAGATGGAAGCTTAAGAAACTATTAATATTATGGCAACAATTATTTTGTAATAAACTTTTAAAATATTTGTTTTGTTTTGATTTTGACTAAAAGGTTTATCTTGTATCGTATAACATACTGAATCAACTAAAAATAATGGTTTACCTATGTATATATTGAGGTAAGCTCTAATAGTTTCGAGTCATAGTGGACACTTTTCCTTATTTTCCTATATGTTTTGAGTTTGTATACCCTTTTACTTCGTTAAACTTCACACATAATTTTATTTAACTATATTTCCCTTGTTTTTATTTTTATTCACTACAGAATATTACTTATCATAAAATTTTTTGTCATATAAAATATAAAGAATATATTTAAATACCTGAGAGTTTAAAATATGATATACACAACACAATAGGTACTTGCAATCAAAATTACTACTCCTGAAGGTACAAAATTAATAACTTACATACATGGTAATCAATTAAAGAATACTCGTAACTTATACATGAATATATCGTTTGTCATAAAAATAATTGAATACATAATTGATTATAAGCTTCTAAGTTGATTACTTTGTCAATATTTATTACATTTACATTTGCGTCGCCGAACCCAAAGCTGTCATCGTCTTTTACCTTATTGAAGTCTTTGTTTACAATAGCATGAGTAAGATGCCCAACAAAATTTCTATCAACAAGCAAAACAGAAGAACAACATTCATCAACAAAGAATTTTTGAGCATCTTTTCTCCTTTTTACTTTATCAATACTATTCTATGTATGAGAAAATACAACATCAGTGGTAATAATATCGAAATTGTTACAATTAAAAACGTTGTGGGAACAATATTTATTAGTTGTGGCATGATTGGGTACTACTACGCTACCATGAAGTATACTATCTTCAAATCCATTGAGTACATTAGTATTTACAATGTGATTTACTTCGAATACTTATTTAATTTCGTTTCTGTATGTATTTTAAATTTGTACTACAGCTCTAGAAATGTGCGCTTGGTCTTTATCCTTTATGATATCAACAAAAGTCTTTACAGAAGTTCTGATACAAAGGAGTTCAAGAAAGTATCTTGTATCTCAACTGCTTTTCTTTTCATTTCTTGTTTTGCTTTGACCGTTTTTAAATTATTCTACGATCCCTGCTGGACGATAATGAGAGCATTATACGTTTCTACATCGATACTCTTAGATTTGGAACTGGTTCATATAAGTGTCATCATTTATATGTTGACTTCTAAAATAAAACTTTGGCATAACAATATTAAAGCGATTGATTTTGGACACAACAATGATGAAATACAAGTCGATAAAGTGTCAGCATTAGAAGAATTGGAGAAAGCAATCATTTCAATAAACGATGCTTGGAACATAATTGTGAAGATTTCAGGATTTAGTGTAATTTAATTCATATTTCTTTTATATTCTTTTTTTTAATTTGTCATAGTATTGCGCCAATAACGATAAAGAAGAAGAAAGAAGAATTAGAATTTGGAGAGGAAAATGGTGACTTTTTGTTGTAAAATTTGAATACATTAGTAATTTTAAACTTATGTTTAAGTGGATAGAATAAAACGGAATGACCAACGACCATGTTAATACATCTTATTAATCCCCTATTTTGAAAAATCCACAACATTTTTCATACAAAAGTAGTCTCTAAACATCGGAAATAAGGTCTAGAATGGAGTAACTGAAAATTTTGGAAAAAGTAATAAAAATATGATTTTCAGATTTTGATTCACTTCATAACAACATTTGTTCAAGTCTTGGTATACGTTGGAGTTCTGATAATATGGTCTCACGCTGAATTTGTAAGTTAAACAATTACAATGGAAATTTATCCTTGTTGCTATTTGAGTAAAACTCATAGTTGTTTACATCGATTTTTAGGAGGATTTCAATGTAGCCATAAGTCATCTATTTGGAGTACTTCTGTGGGTGACAAAAGTATTCGTCGTAGAACTGGGATTGTGTATTGCTTGCGAAGAGTTATATAAAGAACTTTGCAGAGCACAAGTCATTGTGGTGTACAAATTGTCTCAGGATTGTAAGTTTTGACAACTTCACTTAATTTTTTTTAATTATTACATTTTTTCAACTTCATCTTAATAATTATTACATTTTTCGGCTTACTCACGTAACGCAGCGACTGTCGTACTGCTATTTATAGCAACGCGATAGTCGCGGAATGCTGCTCATTAATATGAGCCTCTAGTATGATTTGAAGCTAGTCGAGTTACTCGTCAAACAGTTACGTGAGTTAGCCAATAAACAAAATAACTTCATTTAATTTTATAATTTACTAGTTGTATCCACAACTTCGTCAGCGTTTTTCTAAAATAAACGTAGCCTATGTTACTCAAAGTCAAAGTGAAACTCAAAATCATTTATTTCAATTGTACCAAGAAAGGCACTTTTGAACTTCAACCAAAATTATAAGTTATTTGCTCATTTCAAGGTTTCTTTTTTAATCAGATTCACAATACATTCATAACATACATAACATCACGCCTTTTATCCCAGAAAGTGGAGGCAGAGGTGCACATTACGGCACTTAATGCCACTGTACAATGTAACACCCACTTTTCACTATTTATGTTATGAGTCCCATGTAATAGGGGGTGAGCCTATTGCCATATTACGTACAGCCTATTCACAATACAATAATTCTTTAGTTACCTACATAATTTTGTGGCTTCAGTTGTGTAAGAACAATATAACATCAAAATAGAGTCAAAGAGATCGAAAAAGAAAATAACATCAATCAATTCAACCAAACAACATTTTTTGAACAAAAAATCAAATCTTTCCGCTTTATACTATTAAAAAGTGTAGGTGTAGATGTAGCTTAGCTGAGCCGGCAAACTTCGTCCTGCTTAACTCTTTTTTTCTCACCTTCGAAACCGTCACTTACACGGACATTTCACGACCAAGATTATCCAAATCAGTTCAGCCGTTCTCGAGTTTTAACAACACTAACAAACGGAAATTTATTTTCATTTAATAAATAAATTACTTAATTTATTGTTTCAGTAACTTTAAAAAAAGTATGGAAGAACATATTTCGAGTGTTGAACGAAGAGTTTGATCCTTTGACGGCCTGTGGGATGTTCACTATAGAAGCTAAAACTTTGCTTCATTTCTGTCAACTTGTTGCTACTTACACTATTGTTATATTACAATTTGCTGTCTTGTGAATTAATATTACATTTTATAATATGTCATTATATATATAAATGTGTAATAATCATTTTTAGTTTTCCTTTGTTTAATTTTCATTATTAGTTTTAGTGTACCTATCTTAAGTTGTATAGGTACTTTTATTCATATTTTAATTTATTCTCGTAAGTTTAGGTTCTGGATTTATATAAACTAATTATTTAAATTAAAATAACTTTAATGGAGTGAGTGGTGAGGACTATTTGTTTGTAAAATAATTTTGTAGAACAATAAATTATAATAATAATAGATTTAGTAATGTAATTTTTTATTATTGGGGTTTTTAGTCAAAAATATTTTGGTCAAAACCTATCTCCGAATCCCTCAAAACTTTAACTTTTATTCAACAAATCATTATTCTTCCGCGTGTTAAGCACCATGATAACTTATTAACATCTATATTATTATTGGATTGGTTGAGAGCAGTGACATGGTTCGAGTTCTTGAAACCAAATGTGTAGTAATCAGCAGAATAGGGTAGATGCCTAATTTTTATTTTAATGGCTGTCTGGTAGATTACTTTAAATCATTAGACACGTATTTTCTATTTTCTTACAAAAACGAAAACTTTTGATGATATATTGATGTGAAATGTCGCGTGACGTCACTTCTATGTACATTTTATACGTAGAAATGACGTTTTAGCCCCCATTCCTAATTAGTTTTATCTAAGTATTGTTTTATTATACGACAAAATACTTGTCTAATATTTTTTCATTACCTAACTTATGGACTAATTAGATTTTTAATTTTCATACCCTGTCATCATCCCAATTGTTAACTTTGGGCTTAGAGCAATGACGCCGTTAAAACTATTGTTTTTTTTTTTAATCACCAATAAACATAATATTAGAAACTTAGGTGAAGTGTGAAAATATTGAATAGTTTAATAAACTGAAGATTGTTTAGTGGGTTCTCAGGGGCGTGAAATAAAGTTCGACACACGGTTGAACTGTAAACTGTATACATTAGATTAAACCTTAAACAAAACATAAACAAAGTTGTACAATAATACAGAACTCAAATATTTTGCGGCACAAATACGGAGCGCGTGCGTCACGGCTCCGGCGCGGGACTCGTTGCACTGTTGCGTCCTCGCAAGCATCGAGCGGTCAGTGGCGGGGAAGCGGGGGAAAAGGAATAGTGAGGTGGCCGTGCTGCCACTAGAGTTGCGCGCGTGCGTCCGACACAAACCAAAATCGAATTGCCGCGTTACAATACTTAATAACAGACTTTAAAAAAGGAGGTTCTCAGTTTAACTTGTATAGTCATGCGCGATTATCACGCGATCGGCTTAGTCGATTTTGAGGCGGTTTTCAGAAAAGAGTTTATTTATTCATTTATTTACACTTTAATGCACACAAAATAAGGTACATAAGGCGGACTTAATGCCATATGGCATTTTCTCCCAGTCAACCTTTGGGTTAATTATAAGCTCAGCGAAAATGGGCGTGTGTAATATGCAAAAAAAACATAATAAATAACTAATAGTAATAATAAATACTGTATAACATACTGTATAAAAATATATAATAAACACAAAATATGTACATAAATAACTTCATGTATATAATTATTATATAATATAAATTGACGAAGACACGAACTCAGCGTTGTAGCGCCTTTAAATAGGCCTCACGAACACTACGTTTAAAAGCCATTTTGTTTGGAGCCATTTTTATACTATGGGGTAGTGCATTCCATAATTTAATTACACTAACTCTGAAGGAGTTAGAAACGAAGGAAGTTTATTACATTTAGGTAAAGGTTTTAGTATAATAAATAACCGATTT